AGGGTGCTTCTTGGCATGGGTCTCCACTGTGCTGGTGTCTGCGCCCATGTGTCCCTCCTGGGAGACACCTCGCCGCAGACGGACTGGCCCCGCCCGCAGCGGAGAGGCACCCGGCGCTCCGTCAGCAGGGACGCCCCCACCGGCGAGTCGAGGCGCGGCACGGCCCGCCGGGCCGAGGATCAGGTCGGGCCAGTCCCCCTAGAGGCGGATCTTGGACGAGAGATGAAAGATACCCGAAAACTACCCCAAAAGAGTCCAAAAATGATATACATATATATATATATATATACAAGACTGCAGTGGCGCTTCGCGCCATGCACCTTGGTCCTTGAAGTTTGGCATGCAGGCGGAATAGCAGGAAGGTCAAGCCGACAATTTAGCGATAACTCCTTGTTGCCTTTTCCGGCATCGCCGCTATAATAATGTTATTCGTTATCCTTCCTCCATGCTTATTTTTCCTTATGTTCGCCATACCCTGCGCATTCTCCCCATCTTCCTCAGCTCTTTTTTGCGGAGGCTCCTCCTTGCAGAGCCTCTAGGGGCCTCACAGAAGTTGTTTCAGGCTTTCTTAAGGCCTTCGGGAGGCCTCCTGGGCGTATTCTGGGGGCCTCCGGGGGCTTCCTCGGGCCACCCTGCCTCCAACCGCGGTCTCCCTGAACGACCGAATCACGATTTGGAATTCTTCGGAGGGTGTCTTTGGGCCATTTTGGGCCGCCATGGGGCTCTCTGAGGGCCATCTTGGGCCCGTGTTGTGCCGTTTTGGGGCTCCCTTGGACTGCCTGGAAGCCCTTACGGATGGTTGTGGGGCGATTCTGGAGCCTCCCAGGTGGCTTCGGACGCCCAGAAGACTGCCGTCTTGGAGCGTCGGGAAGCAGAAAAGAGGAGAACCCCAAAATTTCCAAAAAAAAAAAAAAAAAAAAAAAGTTTTGCTGCGGGGGCCTTCTCCGGAGTGCTCTTGGAGGCCTCTTTGGGGCCGTCCTGGAGGCCTCTTGGGCCATCTTGAGGTCACGTCGGTCACTCTTTGAGCGCTCTTGTGCTGTCTTAGGGGTCCCTGGGACATCTCCGATGACCCCCCTGATCGCCCTAGGTGTGCTGGGAAGGCTTGGCGAAACGCCCTGCGAGGACGGGTGGCCGCTTCGAGGCCCGTCCCGAGGGTCCCAAAGCCCCAGATCCCGGGAGTCCAGTTTTGGGGGGGGGGGGGGACGGGTTTTCCCCCCGCCCGGGCTTGTAAAAATATAGGAAGAGGAATAGAAGAAGGGGGGGGGAATAAAAAAAAAAAAAAAAAAAAAAAATGCCCGGACTGCTTTCTTACTGTTTTTGAATACTCCTCCTGTCGAGGCACACGCCCGAACTTCAGCCGAGGAGGGAGCGCCCCACCCAGAACCCCGAGACAGCGCCATGAGACAACGTCGTGACGGGAGGTGCTTCGCTGTGTTCGGCCTCCGCCGGCCCTCGCCGGGCCCCCGGGGCCGCCCAAGAACGACTCGGGACGGGAAACCCGTCCGGGGGAAGGGGCCCAGGCACAAAGTCGTGGGACAACGTCGTGACGGGAGGTGCTTCTCCGTGTTCGGCCTCCGCCGGCCCTCGCCGGGCCCCCGGGGCCGCCCAAGAACGACTCGGGACGGGAAGCCGGCCCCGCTCCCCCAGGGGCCCAGGCCTCCTGGGGTCGACACGCCTGCAGGAAGAGCAACGAAACGCGCCCGCTCCCCCAGGGGCCCAGGCCTCCTGGGGTCGACACGCCTGCAGGAAAAGCAACGAAACGCGCCCGCTCCCCCCGGGCCCCTGGCCTCCTCCCCCCCCGGGGCCGCACAGCTCCTCGGCCTCCTGCCTCTTCTCGGCGGCGAGCCCGAAGCGGGGAGGTGCGAAGGAGAAGGCCTTCTCAGAAGGCCCTCGGAAATCCCCCCCCGACCTTGTGAGAAGCCCCTCCGTCAACGGAGGGCCCTGCCCGCTGTGGGCGCTCCAGGAGGACAAGGAGAAGGGGGAGGGGAGAGGAGGAGGAGGAGGAAGAGGAGGAGAAGGAGGAAGAGGAAAAGGAGGATGAGGACGAGCAGGAGGAGTAGGAGGAGGAGGAGGGGGAGGAGGAGGAGGAGGAGGAGGAGGAGGAGGAGGAGGAGGGAGGAGGGAGCGCCCCACGCAGGGAGGCCACAAGGCGCGGGCGGGGCCCCTCGGGGCGCGCGCGCGGAGAGGGCCGCCCGGGCGAAGGGGCGCCGAGGACGCTGCCCCGCGAGGGAAGCACAGGAGCCTGGAGCCCCAGCCTTCCTACGGAGGCCAACCAGGAGATGTTCGCAGAGCGAAGCAGAGAATGGTCTGAGAGCAACAGCCATGGTCTCAGAACAGAGGCCCGCCGGGTGCTGGAAGGAACAGAAGACGGCCTCGGCCAGCACTGTTCTGAGAGCAGGGTCGTGCAAGCCGCGCACAGGGCTCTCAGCACATCCGTGCAGACCAAAGACAAGTTTCTCGAAACATCTTCTGGTGGGCCTGCAGGGACACCAGAACGCTCCGCCACTGCCTGAGCGGGGATCGCCCGAGCGGGGGGACGAGGCACGACGGGCCTATGCTGGACCGAATCGCGACGCCGGAGCGGACCGAAAATAAGTCGGATCGCCAGCTGATCGGGTCGGAGTCGGATCGGACCGCGCCGAGAACCCGAGCCCGTGCCCCGGTGTCGCGGCCATCCACTCCGCACGATCACTAGTGGATGGTTTGATCACATCAGCGACGCCACTGATGCTCGATAACTCCGTCAAAGAGTACTCCAGATTTCGTAATAAAGGGAGGGGGGTCTCATTTCGGGAGGGGTCTCTTCCAGGCCATCTTGGAGGGCCTGGGGGGGTCTGGGGACGGTGTTTTGGCGGGTTCTCCCAGGGGGGGGGTCTGAAATGGCTTGTCTTGGAGGGTCCAGACCCCCTCCCTTTTATTACGAGATCTGGAGTATGCTACGCGACCCACACGTCGGTCCAAGAGGCGATCGCCAACTTCCACGGCGAGCACACGTGGGGCAGGACCGAACGTCACCCTCCTCCGCCTCCTCCTCCTCCTCCTCCTCCTCCTCCTCCTCCTCCTCCTCCTCCTCTTCTCCTCCTCTGGGGAGAGGAGGAGGAGGCTGGGGAGACGCCATTTCCTCCTCCTCCTCCTCCTCCTCCTCTCTCCTCCTCCTCCCTCTCCTTCCTCTCCTCCTCTCCTCCTCCTCCTCCTTTCCTCCTCCTCCTCCTCCTCCTCCTCCTCCTCCTCCTGCCGCCCAGAGGCGCCAGTGCGAGCTCGGACACTGCGAGGGGCTCGCCCGCCAACCCTGGCAGTGGCCAGCTCGCCGGCCTGCAGCAGACCTGCGCGGTGCACTCGCGGCCGTCCCCGACCAGGGACGAGCTGGGTGGCAATAGGGGCCACATGTGAACCCTACCCCTACCCCCCACGATTTCTGAGGGGGAGGGTGGGGTTCACTTCGCTCGGGAGCTTCCGAACGAAGTGAACCCCACCCTCCCCCTCAGAAATCGTGGGGGGTAGGGGTAGGGTTCACATGTGGCCCCCTAGGCAAGCCACAGATTGCCTCACCGCCAGGCAGCTGGAGCTCGACGCCACCCTGCAGGCCTCCACGAAGGCTGCGCCACCGACAAGACCCCTGCTCACGCGCCCGGGATCGAGGCGCTCGTGCTGACCACCGCGCTGTGAAGGCCCGCCGAGAGCTGCGGTCTGCGATCGGGGGCACAGAGGACCACGCCTACTCGATGCTTCTTAAAACAGGGCTAGGATCGGGAAAAATCGATCCAGAGCGTTCCGGAGCGCTCTCAGAGCGTTCCGGAACGCTCTGGAGCGGCCGCGGCGCCCAATACATCCTCCAAACCCGCCGATTCTCAGAGATTCCGAGTTATCCCGATCCGATTTTGTCCCGATCTTCGCGTCGTTTTACCACGCCTGCTCGATGCTTCTCGCGCCTCGCCGATGGGGAGGCCGACCGGCCGCGACGGGCGCAGAGGCCGGCCGGCTGCCCCCGACCAGCAGGCGCACGACCTCGCGCCGCGCAGCCTGGACAGCCAGGCGGCCGCGCCCCCGGGGCGTCCCCGGGGCCCGCAGGGCGCCGCCGGCAGGGCGGGGACGGCGGCGCGTGGCGGGTCTGCGCTGCCACCCGAGCGACAGAGGCCGGAGGGACGTTCGCGCCCAGGCCGCGCCTGCCACGACGAGAAGGCCCTCTCCTGCGCAGCAGCACGGCCACCTGACGACGACGACGACGACGACGACGACGACGACGACGACGACGACGACGACGACGACGACGACGACGGCGACGACGACGACGATGGCGGCGGACGACGACGACGACGACGACGACGACGACGACGACGACGACGACGACGACGACGACGACGACGACGACGGACGGCATTAGCGGAGCGGGAGCAACCTTCCTTCCTTCTTCGTCTGGCGAAGTTTTCCCGACCAGAGCTGACTTTCCCGCCCTTCCAGGCGGCGAAGCCAGCCTGGGAGGGGAAGGAAGCCGTGGTGGTACCAATCGCTACCCTCAGCGTCGAAGGCCTTCTTGAAGGAGGAGGACGAGGACGAGGAGGAGGAGGAGGAGGAGGAGGAGGAGGAGGCGGGAGGAGGGAGGAGGGGGAGTAGGAGGAGGAGGGAGGAGGGAGAAGGGAGAAGGGAGCAGGCAAGCGCACGGTGGAGGGGCCACGGAAGCCTGCGGAAGGCGCCCCGGCCCCCCCTCCACGATGAGGCAAACGGGCGGGCACGCCGGTGGGCGAAGGGGCCCAAGGCCGGCGCCATCTGCAAGGGGCGCGCGTGCGCGCGCAGGAGGAGCAGGAATAGGAGGAGGAGGAGGAGGAGGAGGAGGAGGAGCAGGAGCAGGAGCAGGAGGAGGAGGAGGAGGAGGAGGAAGAGGAGGAGGAAAAGGAGCAGGAGCAGGAGGAAGAGGAGGAGGAGGCGGAGGCGAAGGAGGCGGAGGAGGAGGCACTGGCCTTCCCGAAGTACCGCGACGCGTCCTTGTCCCGGAGCTCCAGCGCCTGACCCCAGGCCCCCCCGCAGCCCCTGCAAACCTGACGCTGCAGCAATCTTTTCACACCGGGCGTTCTTGCGCCCGATTTCGTGCCCTTGAGCTCTTACGGGTCGATCCAGCTCGAACAACGACGCAGAGAGATGGGGTCTGGGGTCCCGTCGTGATTTGATGCGATGTTGCAAGTTTTTTGCAGCGTCGGATCTCAGGGCAGGCCCCCCCGCATCGTGAAGGAGACATGACGAAAGGTTTGCAGTCGTTTTCGGCCTCCAGGTGCCGTCGCCCGAAGCGAACGAACGCTCCGACGTCACCCCGGTGGTCCAGCGGACACGGAGAGGCAGCCCGCGTAACTGCAGGCGGGATCACGAGCCCAAGGGCGGGAGGGGGTTCCAGCCCCCCCTCCTCCTCCTCCCCCTGCCCCTGCCCGCTGCAGGGGCGCCTTGCCCGTGCGAGCCTCACGCGCGTCCGACCACACCCCACGCGGGGGGGTTGAGGCCCTCTGCAAAGATGAGCGCCCTGACCTCCTCGCGCCTTGACCGTGACCGTGACCCTGGTCTGGGCTGGCGGCCCCCCCGTCTTGACTTGGATCAGACATGAGGTTCGGTGAACGCTGCGCTCTGGGAAGCCCCCCCAAAAAAACGGCAGGGCAAAGAGGCAGGCCTGACCGAGCAGCACTCAGGAATTCCAAAGGGCGGACCAGCGACAAGGAGAGAGAAATGAGCAGAGAGCCTCCAGAGAATATGCTGCATGGCCAGGCAACGCAAGGGCAGCCTAGAATGGAAGGAGAATCCAGGGGGAAGGTGCCCTCGACGAAGGGCCCCTCCCCGCCCCCATCACCCAGTCCCTGCCATGTCCACGCTCGTGCCCCGCGCGCTCGGCCCCAGGTGGTCACGCACGCGCGCGTCCCGAGGAGGAAGGGGTGCAGGAGGAGGAGGGGGAGGAGGCGGACGACGACGACGAGGAGAAGGAGGAGGCCGAGGAGGAGGAGGACGACGACGAGGAGGAGGAGGAGGCGGAGAAGGAGGAGGAGGATTACGAGGAGGAGGATCAGGAGGAGGAGGAGGAGGAGGAGGAGGAGGAGGAGGAGGCTCCGCTCTCAGTGGCGGCAACGGGCGAGGAGCCAGGGCCAGGGGCGGGCGGCCCTCTCGGGAGAGCAGCGCGCTCCTGGGCGGGGGGGGTATCGGCCGGCTTTGAAAGCCCGTGCGACCCGCAATCTTCCCTCCCCCTGGGGCTAGGAGGAGGAGGAGGAGAAGAAGGGGGAGGAGGAGGAGGAGGAGGAGGAGGAGGAGGAGGAGGAGGAGGAGGAGGAGGAGGAGGAGGAGGGGAAGGAGGAGGAGGAGGACGGACCGTAGCCATTTTGGCTCAAGTACGAAACCGTGCCCTGCGGCTTCTTGCTTGTCTGCAGCCGAGGGGCTGGCTCGAGGCGAGCTGCCCTCAGCATCTGCAGGCTTCTCTCGCACGATCCCCGCGACGAGCCCCTGTTCGGTCGCGGGTTTCTGGCAAGTTCTCTCCCATCCCTCATGCCTCGCTGGCAATACAGCTGCGGCGTTCAGAATGCCGCCGCCCTGGGATGGTGCAAAAGATGAGAAAAAACACTGGCGACAGTCGTGGCGTGGTCGCAGTCCGAGACGTGCTCAGTCGCCTCGTCGCTCAGTGTCCCCTCGAGGTCGGCGCGAGAAGACTGCCGCACCATGGACATCCACGACCAGATATCATGCAGATTCCCCGCCATATGTGAGAATGGCAACACCGTCGGAGGCCGTGTTGACGGATCATTTCAAACCACTTCCCCCTGGTGCCTCGGAGGACACTCGCAAGCAATATTTGAAAGAGTTGAGAGCACGTATCGCCCTTCTGAAGACGCAGCACAAGCTGCTATGGACACAGGACATGGACACGTCGGAGTGTGCTCATCAGCTCTCAGCGACAAGAAGACGCCTGATCGCTCATCTTCCCTTCGAGACGCAGTTGATCATGATCGACGGCAGCATCGAGCACATGAAGCAGCGTGCCGAGATCTCTCAGAAGGCGTGAGAGTCAAAGCAGAAGGAGGCGGACGCGCTCAAGATCAACTACGACAGATTACTCGATCAAGCGAAGGCTCTCAGGAGGACCCGTTCGGAGCTGATGGGGGCCATCGAAGACGAAAACGCAGACGGAAAGGGGGGGCGATTCTGCCGACGTGGAGGCAGAGTTCGACCTCTACGGAGAGACGCCGAGCGGGGAGCAGGCGGGGGCGTCGGCGCCGTTGCCCAAGGCCGCGGCTGCGGCGTCGGCGGGGGGGGGGGGCCTCGGCGATGAAGCAGCCGCCACCGCCCCCGCCGCCCGCAGCGTCTGGAGTGCCTATGGGCAACCCTCCGCCGCCGCGCCCCACGCCGCCCCCCCCCCCGCCACGGCCTGCGCCTCCGACGCCGCCAAGGATTGCAGAGGGAGATGGCATGTCACGGATAGCTCCAACATCGCCTAACGTTCAAGCCGAAGTTCAGAAGCAGTTGGCGCCAGTAGGAAGGGAGATGCAGGCAATGGCTTTCTGCATGCAGCAGATGATGGAACACTTCACGGGCGCGCAGTCGTGCCCAGTCAGCCCGCCATCGCCGTTATCGGTCAAGACAACGTCTATGGCACCCACGGAGGTCGCAGATTCAGATGGCAGGTCGGTCGCTGGCATGAGATCGCCCTCTTTTGGCGGGGCAAGGTCGCGCAGCGAGGATCGGCTCAGCACGCGCGGGCGCACCGCGGGAGCCACGTCCTGCAGCCCACGCACATCGAGATCGAGAGCATCACCTATGACGTCAGAGGAGTTTCCTCAAGCCATGGCACAATCTGGCCTGAACACAGCCTCGCAGGAAGACGCTGCCAGTTGATCAGTGCTACGTCTACCCCTTCTTCGGCAGCGGGCTGGCGCTGGACACCGTGGCCCGCTGACGTTTTACTCGTCTTCCTGGTCGGGCACCTCAGCGAGTACAGCAACTACAGCGAGCTGCGGACGGCATGAGGCCGACCCAGCAGGTGGGTCACAGTTCAGGCGACCCAAGGTTTTGCACCGCATTCGTGACCGACTGCTCTGGCAACCACTGCTTTGCACGTTGTCCTGGGGCCCCTGGGAGTGGCCCCTCCCCCTCTGGCTTCGTCTGCGCCCCCCCCCCCTCGCTCTGGACCCTGGCCCTCAGGGGGCCCCCCTTTTAGATTTGATGGGGACTCAGCTGGTACGGAGCCAGTCCTCAGTGCCGAAAGTGTTTGCGATGCGTCCAGCTCAAAGGGCTGCCCTGGGATCGCTGGGAGCGCCCATACACTCGCCCCTCCTCCGTCTGGATCTCCCCCCCCCCTCTCCTTCCTGAGGGGATCCCGAGTGATCCGAATTTGATTTCTGACCCCGTGCCTTATCCGGCTTGGCTGGGGGGAATTTGGACGCCTGGAGCTTTCGAACATCCAGGGTCGGTTTTTGAAGCTGTGCGCCACGATCGCTTGGGGAAGCCGTCTCACGCGCGCCGTGCCGAAGATGTCCAGCCCCCCACCCTTCGCTCCTCTTCCCTCGCTGCCGGCGTGGGAGTTGGGGCGCCCTCTCCTGTCCCTGGAGCCATCGGGGGGATTGGGGGCCCTGGAATACCCACCCCGTTCGCCGACGCCCTGTGGTCTTGCGCGGCGGCCAAGAAGGATGCCATACGGTGCGATATTCAGCTACCACGATCAATGTTGGAAGGTCTCATCTTGTCTGGAGGCTTCAGGCTATCAGGAGACGTGGGTGATCGTGGAGATATCCATCCATTGGCGTCCACGGCTATGGATCTTGTGCCTGTGCAGTCAGGCATGGGCACTGCCAACTATATCTTTGTTGACGGGTCTTTCTGCGCTTCCGACCCCGAGGGGGCGGGATGGTCCATGGCCCATGTTCTGGCCAACGAAGATGGAAGTTTTGGTTGCGGCGGTCCTTTTTGGTCGCGAGCCATGTTGGCCGTTCCTGGGCCTCCCTCCCCTAGCGGTGCCGTCGTTCCGGAGTTGGTTGGAATCCTCTGGTGTTTGATCTGGTCGGTTACCCGAGGGGCTGACAATCGGATCACGATTTACCCGGATTGTTTGGCGGCCATCGATGCTGCTTTGGGGAGTTCGTCCACTGCTTCTGCTGAGATGCTCAGCCACACGACCCACACCCTCTACCTCTCTGCCAGCACCCAGTGCGTGAAGTTCAGACCCGCCATGCCCCAAGTCAGCGTGCTCCTCCTTGGAACGAACTTTGTGACAGCCTGGCCAAGCGCGCGGCCCGTGGTTCGTCTCTCTCGCCCTCGGCTCCGATCGTGGACGTTCTCGCCTCCTCCCGCTGTCCGGAATGGGACTGGCTCGGGCGCGCTCCCAGGGCCCTGCGTTCGGCCCATCCTCCGCTTGACTGCCGCGGAGTTGGGCGCCCTCGAGGCGTGATATGGCGAGGCGCGTGGCCCGCGGTTCGTTCGTCTCTCTCGCCCTCGACGCCGATCGTGGACGTTCTCGCCTCCCCCCGCTGTTCGGAAGGGGACTGGCGCAGGCGCGCTCCCAGGGCCCTGCGCTCGGCTCCTCCTCCGCCTGACGGCCGCGGATTTCGGCACCAGCCTCGGCCCACTCCCACCACCTGCTCGACCCTCGCTTCCACCACCACCCCTGCCCGATCCTGCCAAGGAGAAGGGTTCCGCCCAGGCCCCCCCCCAAAAAAAAATCGAGTCGCAGACCTCCCTGCGAGCTGTCGCTTACAACGCTCTGGCGCTTCGGCACAGCGATTCCGATGACCCTTTCGTTCGATTTGCGGAAGCGCGCGGGAAGGCCGACCTCCTCAGGACGCAGCTCGACTTGAATGGAGTGGCCCTCGCGGGCGTTCAGGAGGTCCGTACTGAGCGAGGTTCTCGCACTGCCAACACGTTTGCGGCCTTCAGCTCGGGGTCGGCCAAAGGTAACTTGGGGGTCGAGCTTTGGCTGTCTCTCCATAACCGCCATGGCTCTCGTGATGGAATGCCCATCACGTTTGAGAAGCGGCACTTCGCGGTG